AGATAATTCTATAAATTCCAAGACGCTGCAAATGCAATAATAGTGAGTGCTTTAGGAGCGGCCAGCGAATGATCACTAAACATTTCATTAGCTAGGCTTTTACATTTAATTATGAAGGTAAGCAAGGCTTTCTAGGCAATTTACGTTCACGCCTTTGCAAATCAGTACTTTCTTAGATGAAATATTATAACTGCCACGACAAAGAGTGTAAAAGTAAGTGTAAGTATAAAAAAATCTATATTTAAAAATGACATTTGACTCAAAATCGTAATGTTTCAAGTTTCAAATGATAAGTTTACGCAGTCAGATCATCAGATGGTCTATTGCCTCAAACATTAACGTTTCTAGAAGACGATCAAAGATCCATCAGTTGATGATCCTTCTAATTGTTAGGGCTCGCCAGTCAATGACCAAATTCTTCCCAATTACAATGCAAACAAACACGAATCAGTGTTTGGACACAATTATAAATGATGACAAGCCATGCACCAGGGCAAGTCGGTTCAATTTGTTCCAATCAAGCAGGGGGCGCCAAGACCGCGAGACAATTAAGAATTACATCAACAACCTTGACGTAACACTAAAATAAATTCACTAATGTGTTTTGTGTCTTATTCAATTAAACGGTTTCAGTGATGACATCATATGGATCATCTCCAACTCCTTTAGTTTGTAATTGTTCTTCTGTAACATTATCATCTATACTTTCAACAGTATCAAAATTTAGACAATTTACTTCAACACGACCTTAACCTTTTTGAGCACCATGCGTATGTAACCTGGTAACTGTTATGCCTTCTTACGCTATTGCCAATCATCGTAAATCAATTCTTCAAACTTGAACGCTGATCTCTGCCTTCCTAGAAGACATATTGTCTCAATAAAGTGTCATAACACAATGTCGTATAGGTCGTCAATAATAAAACTGATTTTATTCTATTAAAATTCTGAGAATTTATTTGACGTTTATGGTGTTGATAAATTTGATTACAGAGACCGTGACTTCTATTGTGATTTTGTTTTGTTTTGATACAGATTTATTTATATTCAAAAGCATGATAGCATAAACTGTATTTTCCTTTGGATTACTATTATATATCAATCCTATCATTATATTTACATCAACATCACGACGTATTTCAAGTGCAGTTTTATGATATCCAAAGAGCAACAGACTGCTGAATCAAACCTAGAAATTATCAGTGCTTAGAACTGGTAGGCGGAATGTTAAACTCATCATAATAAAAGTGTACGGATGGCTTAATAACGGATGTTATGGCAATAGGGACACAGATACGTGGCAGAGTCAACACTGCTATGACTAATATGTATATTTAGATTACAATACTTGGTATGAACATTAATCCTTACAAAATATTTCAGACTCAACAAGAATTTGATAAAGACAAAATTTTAAAAAATATTTTTGCAGCTTCCCCTCGAAAACAAAAGAAAGTCACTTTAGAAATATTAATCACGCTTACATGTATTATGAACTATTTCTTTGATCAGACTAAATAATTTCTACCACAAACATCATTAATATACTCACAGTAAACACGTTTATTTATACTTGAAAGTACTCACAGGAGTATAATATCAGTAGCGAACGCAAGTCGAAAGCTATCGAATATCATGGGATAAACAGAAGCTTACTATTTATAAATACGAACCTGAACAGTCGATGTCTTTATTCCATGGGAATGGCTATTCATTTCATGGGACATACAACTTTAATTATATCACATAATTATTTTATCCAATTTACCATGTAATTGACTTATGTTCACGGTGCCTTTAATAAATTTAATATAGAACCATGTTTGTTGGACTAGATATAATATTAACGAATATTATTGAATTTTTGAAAAAATGACTTTCAGAACGGCTTGTTGGAGGGCTCTCCCAAATTTTAAGTATGTTATACCTAACATATTTTACAATGAACCTGTATATTTGACAGCAGCCTCCTTAAAATTAAGCATTATCCTACTCAGTGTTATCAAAATTTGTGGTGTGTTTGCAGATTAGGTTTTATTTACGACATATTGTTGTGTGTCTAGACTTGGAGACCTTCACAGTGACTAAGATAGACACGAATGCAGGCTGAAAAATGCGATAAAGTCTACGGTATTTTCTGCCTGGGTTGAACTGAATTGGCTGGACGATCTTTTATAAATAGCATTCTATTTTGTCAACAAGACCTATTTGTCTATAAATTCTTTGTCCCAAAGAAATGTTTAAAGAATATATGGGAATAGTTCATCATATAGGTCGACTGTTAAATGTAAAGTATTAAGTACACGGCTATCTGGAGTGTTTGAACATGGGCGAGTGTACTCAACCACTGTTACTGTACAGGCGAGTCAAGTACTGACGTACAACAAAACCCCTTGAACTAATCTCACTAACAAAATGAGGCGAATGCATTCTTCAACAAATCGTGGCACCTATTACTAACCCGCTCGTCAAGTCTTCTATTTGTATAATAGAATTCGCGCCTTATTATTTTGGTTTAAAGTTGATAATGTTTTAAAGAAAAAAGTGGTGTATGTTTTGGCTATACATATATCTTGAACTTAGCAATCAGTGAATGATATGGCGATATAATTCAATAGCGATTGACATAGTGACTGTTTGTTGATCCAGTGGTTTAATGAGCTGCACCTAAGCAATGCATGTCAAAATCTAGCTCGATTTTTGTATGCTTTGCTGTTTTTGGTAAAAAGGTTGGAAACTTACAACTGTAAGTCAGGACCTAAAGCCAGAAACAAACATCATTTGTTATTTACTTAGTGAGAATTTCTTACGCTGTTTCAATCTTACATCATAAGGTTCAATTTTATGATACGAAAACCAGCGCAAGCGCCACTTAAAGCTGGCGCCATTTTATGTCCCTAGCACTTCATAATACGTGTCTTGGTGGTCATTATTATTATTATTGATATAGCAGGCCAGTAATCCATATAATAAGAGGTACTAATATTAACGTTTGAAATTAAATAATACACGAACTTAATTCAAAAGTCAATGAAGGTTTTTATAAAGAAACTTCTTAGAACTGATGTTGATAGTATTTTTTGTATTATCGTATAGGTCGGCATCAAATTGTCGCTGGCTGTTTAGGGGTTAGGGATACATACTCAATCCTTACTCCATCATGAATGGGGAAGGATTAGACATCCGAGACCTAACGAACGTAGTGAATTACAACGCAAGAGTTGTTCCACGCCGGTGTTCTGTAAGACCATGGTATCACTCCGGTCAAGCAAAGCCATTTGGTGCCGAGGCTCTTCCCAACTTCTCATAATATGACTGATGAAACATGGAATACCATGTAAGTCTTAATTATAACGAGTGATTATGTAACCTCCATATTAAAATTAGCATTAGTAAGTACATTGAAAATGTACCCAGACTTCATAGAGAACAAGAAGGAATTAGTTGAAAGTAGAAGTAGGTAAGAATGCAAACGGACTAATATGACGAGAATATTTTGAATATTTCAACACATAATGAAAGTGAAGTAAGCTCGGTGAGTGAAAAGTTTTTGTTGGGTTTTGTAAAATATGAAAAGCAATCATTTTAATCACAATTGTACCAAAAATTTTCGAAAATAATAGGGTATACAAGTTAATTTATATAGCGTGTTTTTAGGAATGTTATTTTCTTGACGTTTAACTTGAGTTAAATCGCGTAGTAGTGTATCTATGGACAGGAGTTTCTTGTTACTCATATGTTTGCAATTATGCAAGCCGTTCAGGATTGATTACATCGCATCGCCGTAAATCGTTTAAGTGCACTCGAAGCTGCATGTCCTATTTATACCAACTGCTATTTATATAGGTATTATTTAATCTCGTTTATCGAGTGCTTAGTTTTGTCAGTTATTTGTTAGTGTTAGGTGATGTAGAGTGGTTGGGACTACGACTTCTGTTTAAGAGGTCCCTAGAAGTGAAGACAGATGGTTTAACAATTTTAAGGACCTGTTCTCAATTTCTCTGCACAATTTTCCCACGTAAAAATATAAGTAAGTAAAAATGTAAGCTTATACCCGAAAGATAGTCTTAAAAACTTTTCCTATCTGGAAAGTTTATAACGATCTCATAATTTCCATTTGCGAAAGAACCAGTCCCAGATGACACCTCAAGCAACAAGGAACCATTGATTTGCAAATATCAAAAATAGTCATAATGCATAAAATCATATATTTCAATAGTTTCGTGGACTTCTCAGAAGCGTTATGTAGTAGCGAGCATTGTCACGCTATTGAGATTTATTAGTAGGTTAAGTGCTTATATTACAATGAACACAAAAGTCATTACCCAATTTCAGAACTGGATTACTTCAAAATATTCGGTTTGTCTCAAGTAGAGTTTAATGGGGCAAATAAATTGTGTAAAATATAAAATTTCTGAGAGTAACTCATGGATTTTTGAAAGGCTACCGGTCTGATGGGCTACTCGGAACGCCAGACGGGTAACAAGTGCATTTTCTACTATCTAAAACGGAATGAATCCTCTTTTGGAAATTATACCAGCTCGTACATAGATTTTATTATATGCTTCTTCTACACTTTTCAACATACCATTTCTATTAAAGTTACTACGCGTATCTACATATCTTTTAGGACAAAGGATAATCTTACTTCATCGACATCAATGCAATTAAGTTTACATACAAGTAAATTCTTATCAGTATTAAAATATCTATTTATCTTTTACACTTTAGAAAAGATTGATGGTGCAATATCGACTTTAAAATCAACATTGAGATCCTAAGGTAGTTCTCTTCTTTAAGAAGCATTGCCATTACGATCATGTTACTCTTCCGAACCAGTTTTAAAAACATCAGAAGTCTGCTAAGTATCGCTACAATTTTTATTATCCTGCAGTAGAATTATGCAGATTCTTCTTTGTAGCTCCTTCTGTATATAGAACGTTATCCTGCTTCTGATATTATGTCTTCAGCTAAAGACCTGAAAATTAGAAAGTACTTACGGTCTGGACAGTTGGCTTCGTCAGTGCCATCATTGCAATCGCTGGCGCCATCGCAAATACGGTTTGGTTCAACGCAGCGCATGACGTCACACCGAATGTAGGTTGCTGGGCAAGCTATGAACAGAAAGAAAAAGAATAAGTGTTAATACAATTTCATAAAAAAAACAATAGTATAAGTAAAATTCAATGATTGTGGTTTACAAAAATGAGTCAAATTACAAGTAAGTATGGACTTTAGTGTAAGGTCGAGGTGGCTCGGAGAAACGGGCGCCTTGCCCGCTTCTCATGCACGAGCGTGTGGGTTCGAAACCTGGCAAATACCAACCAATGTGACTATTTCCTCTTCTATCCCATTGAGATTACATTCTAGGATTTTCCCCTGTGTTGTGGATGCGTTTACAAACATACAATTTAACCCAGACCCGGAACAACATTTTGTGGATCATACAAAGAAATATTCCGTGCGGGAATCGAAACTGCGACACGTTGCCCAGCCAACGCGACAATCGTGTAGACAAAGTTATATGTACTTTCTATGATTACTTAGACATCACCTACAAAGGTACGGTTAAAGTAAACATTGTGAGGAAACCTGGACTTATAATTTCTAATTATAAGTTTGAAATCGCGGGAAGAGGTCATTGCTCAGCGGTGGGTACTTTTAGGCTGATGATGTATGAACTTTAGTATGGAGAAAGGATGATATTTACAGGTACTATTAATAAAAATGAATTTTGCTTGTTAAGTTTTGTGGTTTCGACCAGTCTTTTCTTGATCCTGTTTAATCATATTGGAGTAATTTGGGTCCTTACTTTATTTAAGCTTAAATAATTAATGATAACAGTAATAAAACTGTAAGTGTGGGAGATCCATGCTTCAGAAATCCGTCGTGAAACAACTACAGCGTTGGGTTTTGCCATGTAAGGTTTCTGGAGGCCTAATCCTTTCCCTCCCCCAATCCCTAAATCTCCAAACTCCTAAACCCCAAAACCAAAAGGTCGGCAACGCACTCGTAACTCCTCTGTTGTTGCGAGTGTCCATGGGCGGCGCTGATTGCTTGCCATCAGGTAATCCGTCTGCTCATTTGCCAACCTATCACATAAAAAGGCATTGACTTTTTAGAGCGTCTTATAAGTAAACATAGATTGGAAATGTCAATTCGCTTTCAGTAATGGTGGTGATCGATTTTTATGCGTTATAGCTATTATGAGACAATATTAAATTGGAATTATCATTTTTGGTTATTGATTAAATAAATATTTAAATTAAACAAATAGGATGCCAGTATTACACCGGTAATAGGTAGGCTCCAAAACACGCAGCGAATTAAATTTATAACAAATGTCATGCGTTTCGCTGCATTAGTTTTTGCTCACACTGACCATAAGAACAAGCTTCTCTCCCCTATCTTGGCTGGAGTCCTTTAATGCTATACCTACCAGTTGCGCAAGCAGGTCTTATAAATTATGTTTTAATACATTCGCGTTCTTATTTATTTATTTAGTAACAGGCGGGCATTTGGCTGCTATTATGCCTGGTGGTGAGCGATTATGTGACCTATGATGGACCACAAATACCCATAAGCAACCTATTAACTAAGGCCTTGAAGACTCCCGAGTTGCCGAGTTGCCGACTCTTCGGAAAACAAGGACTCTGGCAAAGAATTCCACTCCTTAACGGTTCTGATAATAAAACTCGAACCGCTTCGTGCGTGTGGTTGGGATTTTTTGTACTTCGACAAAGCACATTATCACCAGAGAATTATTATTTTTCTATAACTAAAGTATTTTAATATAAAATAATGCTTCTTTATTAAATTGTGAACTTAAAAACTTAAATTGAAATTAAAATAATATACCGAATGCAGGTATGGGAGCAGTTGCAGGTACTAGAGGTGAAGACTCTGGCGGCCTAGTAGTCGGTGCTTCGGTATTCCCTTTACAAAATGGAAACAAAAAAATAAATAAGAAAATTAAACAAATGAAAGAAAGTAAAACAGAAATAAAATATGATAATATATGCGTACCGATAGATGAGTCAGCATTTCCTAAATCTCCTCTATTATATTCTTGATCATAATTAACAGGGGTTATTGTAGTTGTACTGGTAGGCAGTGCTGCCGATACACCAACACCAGAATCATACGCAAAAGTGACACCGTCCCCGGTCTGATAGTCTGGTGGAGCCGAGTACTGATCATCATTATTTTGATTATCAAATGTGTCATCCCTATCATCATATATGTCATCTGGTACGGTTTCCTTCGCAGTCGTTGATTCGATAGCTATAAAATAAAAATAAAAGAAAAAACAAATAAATGAAAAAATCATAATTGGACACTGGCAAAATTTGCAAGGTTCAATGCTATTTTCTTATTAGTCATAATAATTATTAAATGGAGTTATATTAAATCAAATTAACTTCTCACTCTGATAATTATATTTGCATTGTTATCTTATTTTCTGAGCTTTACGGAATTCTTTTCATCCTCCATCTTATGACTAAATTCGTTATTAAAAACAAAAATAATGTACTAACTGTCAGGACAGCCGAGTTCATCTGTGCCATCTTTGCAATCAGCACGCTTGTCGCATTTAACTGAGAGTGGCAAACAGATATTATCGTCGCAAGTGAATTCGTTTTCATCACATTCAAACGTTGTACCTAAAGGAAAATAAAAAAATAAATCAACTTAAACAAAGTAATATAAAATAATGAGTATTAAATAAAATAAAATAATGAAATGGCGTCTACACTGAATGGACTGAAGCCGATAGGAAAATAACTGTTAGGCCTCGTTTGCACACGAGGTGGCCACATGACGCGACATTATGTCACCATTGTAGCAACAGCCCTAGTTATAACCCGCACAAACACTAGAACTAGAGGAATCAAGTCGAGCATCTCCTCCGACCGACCGACCGACGAATTTTCCTTTCATTCGAAAGGGTTTCATTGTCCTACTAAATTATAGTTTTCAAATAGTATCTACTCTAGTCAACTCTTTTAGTTTTGTAAATCACATGGTTTTTATTAAAGTATACTTTTTTGGCTGTTTTCTTTTTACCTGGATCGATCAACTGTGCGCTGAAGTCTCCATCTCTGACAGATGTTTCACCCAAGCGTCCATTGTTCTTGATATGGTTCCTAAGAATTTCTTTGATTGTGTCTGTATCTTCATTCCTAGTTGTAACGATGTCCAAAGTGACTTTGCACAAGAAATCGTCGTTGACCAGGGACCTGGAATTGAAAATTTCAAAATTAGTATTGATAGTGTAGAGTAATATTATTTGTAGTGATTATTGAGAATAGCAATTTAAATTTGAATCACCTTATTGGAATGATAGTGGACTATTTAACGTTTTTTTTTTTACTTAATAAGAATATCAATTTCATATTTCCATATTGTCTTTTTTATGTGATGGTCTTTACGAGCCTTTTGACAGTGACTAGCGTTTCGGAGATTCAAGGATTGGAGGAGGGGACGGATTGGAGACTGAAGATTTCAATATGATTTATTAGAAAATGATGACTTACTGTATTCTAACTAGGCTTGAGCGCTGTGTTCCAGGTAGACTCTCGAAGAGCAGATCAACTGCATTGGCCAAAGAACGAGAGATGTTCAGGAACTCAGGCGAGTCCCTGTTGGAGTACTCCGTGATGTACGGCTCCATGACCAAGAATGTGACACGGAGTGTCTCTGGAAATTAGAAAAAAAATACTTAGTACTCTTTGTTTTCTTGCTTTAAAAGGGAAGGCCTTTTCATCAAGGATCTTGCGGTAGGTAAGTATAGTATACATAAATAATGTATGCACATCTTTTTTTTGTGAGAGAATGACTCCTACCGCCCAGGGTGAGACGAGAGGGAGTGTCAGACTCTTACTGCCTATAATCTCTTCGTTCCTTCTCCTGCTCTAAGCCGATGCCGCGGTGCTTTAATGCGCTTGCCCCGCAACCCCGGCTGAATGTTATGTACATCTTAAGGTACCCAACCAATACTCGCTGAAACTACATATCTGTATGATCCTTTGTAAAAAGGATTGTTTTGGACTTGATTAAATTTTACCATTATTTCACCTAGTTTATTTAGAATATATAATTATTATTAGTTGCTATTTTCTTTTGAGTTACGACTAGAAATACTCACTTTCTTTGGGTTCTAACTCAGTCTTATCCGGTGCTCCGGATCCGACGTCAAGGTCATCGTCCTTCCCGTAACTGAAATTGAAATTGATAACAATATTTAGTACCTGTAATCCAAGTCATAATGCGCCAAATTTTTTACTTAGTGTACATCGATATTTTTTTTAGAATATTCCTTGACGATCGATAGTTGGTAGAAAAGGAGATTGGTTCAGACAGTTCATTGATATCAATACAGATATTACGGTTCTTAATGACTAAAATAAGATTTTAATACAGATTGAATTTGTATTGAGGAATAACTTCCTTTTTCCTTTTGTAGACGAATGGGGTGAGCCGTGTCTTATCCAAAAATTGGCACAATTTACAAATAGTTTAATTGTTATTTAATTTCAAGCAGTTACAAGTGATTCATAATATAAGATGCCACTTATTTCTCTGTCTTTAAAACCCACAATTTTATTTATTACAAAATAATTTTATTTGATATTGATTTTATTGTTGGCTTACCTTCCATTATCATTGGGATCGGCTTCCGTAACTGTTTCGGCTTCTTCTTCTTTTTTAGGCGACAGCCACCAGGGTGCTGGAAAATTTATAAACATATATTAATTAACATCAACATCTCAAACGGCTGAAAACATTGTATTATTTGTTTAGTTAGTTATTTTTTTAGACACATAATTGTTTCATTTACCTTGAACAATTTATAACCTGAGCAAAATTTGAATATCAAATATTATATAATAAAGGTTATATATTTTAATGGTTTAACTGCTGCTATTCACAACCAGTTGAAGCTTTCGAACTAGTCAAACCTAACATGAAGGTTGACGTTTGACTACTGACTCAGTAAGCCAAATAGGTTCAAAGATGGAGCATGGTAGCTTACCAGTAAAAATACACATGAAACTGTCGACTAAAGGATCTTTAGCAGCAGAGAATGATGAGAAACGTTCTCAAATAACCCAATATTAATCTTACCTTGACCTCCAACCCGCTTAGCAAGCATTTAGTAGCTATCACATGTTTTTGTTATGAGATAAGGAAAAAAAGAAAATATTATTATTACTTACTGTCAAACCATTGCCGTTTAGTTCTAGTCAAGCCACCCAAGAATGAAGAATCTTCGTGTTTCACCTCCAGGAATTCATTTGACGCGTCCTCTTCGCCTTCCCAGTAAATATCGTTCGCAGATACCTGTAACGATGATATATTTCATAAGATATTGTTATCTAAAACAAAAACTTGTTTACTTAATTATTCATGACCTAACAATGATTATCCTTAAAACAAGAAGACATACAAAGGGATTAACAAAAATAATAAAAAACAATCACAATCAAGGAAACTGTCATAATGAATCCAATTTAAATAAAGAACTTATCCAGTACTTATACAAAAAGACACACAAAACCTCTCAGATACGGTACTTTATTGTAAAGAAAATGACAACTGAATTATTGGTACAATTTGCAACAGCGTACGTTAAACCCAATACAATAAAAAGTAGGAGAGCAGTATTACATTACCGTCCGAAGAAATTTCGTTAAGAAATATTTGTTAGATACATAAGACCCTCAGTTTGGATTATGTAGGAATCAGTAAATAGGTGTTTCGTGATTGGTCGGACCCGTTGAACTCGCCCCGCCTTTATAACGATCTCAATTTAACAGCTAAACCCGTCTTGGTAATTTCCACCTTATATTATATAATAGAAGAAAAGCTATTCTTTATTTTGTTTTACGAGAAAATGTTATAGCCGTTTCGGACGACGACGAAACTGCAGCGAATGCAACTAGATGCAATAATTATGCAGACGAATTGCACTTTTAGTTTTGGATTTTTTTAAGCAAATAGTACCTTTTTTTGGGTTGTTATAATGTAACTATATAATTGGGATACTTTTGCTCAAGTGTTTAGCGTTACTGAAGGGAGTTGCGACGATCGATACGCGCTTACGAACCTTGAATTTGGGGCGTTAGCGTGTTCCACTCATTGGTAGGTCAGTCGGTACAAGAATGAGTAGGTACGATTATTTATAGATACCTACACATCTACCTACCTGTTACTGTTTTGAAGATTGAGAAACAAGTGTAGGTTTTTCCTTAATTGTTTTATTTGTATCATTTTTTAATACTACTTATATAAATAATAATATATATAAATGTGAAAGTTTGTAAGAACGTATTTTTTGTTATTCTTTCACGCGATTTCGTTGAAGTTTTGTAAGCAGATAAGGTATACCTTTACTTTTTGCCAACATTATCAAACGAGGGAAGCCGCAGGCTGATGCTTGTGTTTAATAAGTTCAGAAAATGTGTTAAATTTCGTCTTTGTACGAGGAAGTATAATAACTATATTATTATGACGTATAGGAACTGTTGTTTGTATGATGTTATTTTTATCTATATCAAGAGTGTTTTTCCTTAGATGGTTAAATAGGTGTAGTGTTAGTGACGCTCGGTTTTTTGTATACTTTAGGTGCCCCACCTAAGCAGTGGTCGACAGGCTATGTTGAGTAAGATGAGTGTAGAATTTTAGGTTTGTGATTTAAAAAAATTGGGTATATTTTTATGACACTATTATGAGTTCCCTAGGTCACAGTTTATTTTTCGGAAGTTGGTACCGTATGCTACTTGACGTTACAAAATGAGATTTTAGATTACTTACACCCGGTTTCTGAAAGGCTTGTCAACGCTAAAATTAACTAACCTCCTGTTAAATCTCTTGTCAATTCATCTGATTGGTTGTTGATAATTCAGTCAACCAATCAGATGACTTGACAAGAGATTAAACTGATTTTAACATTGATCGGCCTTTCGGAAACCGGCTCTTCGTATCGTTTTTGACATTCCAATTAAGTATTGAATTTAACTAATTTGAAAAGAAAGTAGGTAAGTATTGAATTTAAAAAACTAAGTACATGTTATACTTTGCTAAATCCCATGCTAATGATAGATGGACATAAACAACACGTGTTAGTTTTTTATGGTTATGTTTTATATGGTTTCTATGGTTGCTAAGAAATTTTGATTAAAAAATATAGGCACTAAGTTTTACAGTCATAACTACTAGCGCCATCTGTCAATTACGACGCGAACTTCCTTGTGCAGTGGACTGTGGACTGGTCTGTCTAATCCAGTGGATTTTTTCAGTGTCAGGGTTAGCTAATAAAATACGTGCTGATAGTCGATATTATTGAAGCAACTTATTACGATTATTTGGTTAAATCTATCTATGATTATTTTGTGAAGTAAATATCACCAAAATGACTTTATTGCCCCGGATAAGACGAGAGGTCAGATTGTTACTGACTAAAACTCCCGTTATTTCTTTGGCTGGAACTATAAGTATCTATTTTTATCACATTATTGACAAGAGCATTTATTTATGTTACATTCTACTGACACCTCTAAAAGAAAAACGTTAAATTTGTCATAAGTTTTGCAAAACTTAGGTTATATTCTCAGAAACAACCACAGAACAACAGATTTTTTCCTCTTTATAAATATTCTCCTATGTAACATTTTTGCGCTTAAAAAACTAAAGTTTTCCGAATTGGGCCCTGTTTCCATATAATAGGAGAAAATAACGTAACGAAGTGCAAGTGTCACTTTAAGTAATTAATTTACAAAAACAATCTTGTCTATAAATTAAAATAATGTATTACCTAAGGTCCGGAAATTAAGGAAGACTCAAGTTTAAACATTACGAAAATCTATAACCAATTAACATAATCATTTACCTATCAACAATAATATTAGGTAAGTATCTTTAAAAAGCCTATCCAAGAAGAAAAAAAAACAACAAAAACGGGAACATTAACACCTAATCAAAATATTGAACTCCAGAGTCCTATTAGCATACATTAACATGAACGAAACACCCAAAAAACTCCGAACTACCGGCGACCGGACAAGAGATCGTAAAGTTGTCATTAAGTCGTTGTGGGGAGACATGATTCGCGAATAAATCGACACTCGAGCCGCAATTAGGGGAGAGTGGGGGCTTTCGGCACAAGGGGGATTTCCTTGCAATTTTAGTTAGTCCAACATGATCCGTCGACGAGTGAGAACGACAAGACTTGCAAGCTAATGGTCGGCCACTTCCCCCCAACTCACCCGTTGGCTCGCTAGCCCGCCTGCCTTACTTTTGGCAGTTATGATAGATACGTAACAATCTTTTAACAACAATAAAACAATTATGATTTGTTTTTTTGGAGAAAATTTTGAGCAAGGTTTATTTAGGTATTTAATATAAATGAAAATTAAATAATATTATAAATTAAAATCGATGACGCAAAAATACCATATATATAGCTCCTATTTTTTTTAACACGGCAAAGCAACAAAATTATTTCATTAAACAGAAAGTTCACACCTATTTTAAATACCTACTTATCTTATTTTAAGCGTAGCGTAAACGCCTTATCTATTGCACCATATTTTTCTCTTAAATAACAGATATTCTTTGCACTTATTACAGATCCTATCCATTAGTCTAGCACGGTAAGTAATCACAATAACTCAAAGATGACAAATGACTCTCATTCTGAATTTTTTCACTGAACGATGTTCTGGTTGCGTCGCTAGATGGCGTTGAGAGCTTCGAAAAGAAGTATGAGGCATACCGCGCGAAATTTTACTGTTTACTTTTTTCTAGATAAAAAACTTGAAAGGATATGAAAAGGACCTAATAAACAGTAATAATATAAAACAGTACTCAAAATCTTCGATGTTTATTTGAATGACTTAAGTGAAAATATCCTTTGTTTTATTTTGAAAATATTAAAGTGTAAACAATGGAATCGTTGCTAATTATGTTGTTGGTACTTGTATGTTTTTGTTTAATAATATTTGTATGTATAGGTATACCAAGGAAGTTACATGGTTTCTATGTGAAATGTTTTTAATATGCCGGAAACTCGACGAGGAGCGTTGCCAAAATACTATAGCTGATGATTTTAAAATTAATTATCGTCATGACTGGGTTCTGAATACTGCTTGCATTCTAAGATTCATCAACGCAAAATTTGGTTGATATTATTGAGTACCGTAAAACAACTTTCTTTATCCTTTCATTTCTCATACGTGATTTTTTTAAACATATTACTAAACTTAACTTGTTTAATGAATCCTGTATAAGCTATGAAACCACATTGCAACGCCAGACCCTCTTTAAACCAATTATTTCGTAATCTAAAAAATAATACATTCCTAGAAAATGGATTAGACCTTGTTAGCAGCACTAACTAACCACCAAACCTACCACATTGCAACAAAGATGGAAAAACGAAATCGCTTTAAGCATTATTAAAATAGAAACGACTACGAAGAAGATTAAAAAAAAATCCATAAACAACGCATTAGTCCAATTCTGAAGAAGTACATTTATAAAGTTGGTGTAATATATAAACATAGATTTGAAGATTTTAATGTAAACTTTCGGATCTCCAAAGGGCCGACGAGTGATATTTAACGTAAGTATCTTTAAAGGGAATTGGTTCAGTGTAACAATTAGGTCACTAAGCCAAGATCGTGTGCGTACGAATGCGTAATGTAAACTATAGTCCAACATTCCAAATTCAAACCTACGAATCAGGAAGAGTGTGCTGATGAATGGAAATGTGTACTCTAATTTTTGCTATTAAAGAACTTTACACCTTGTAGCCAATAGTTACTCGAATTTCTTTTGTTTATTTTCCCGTGCACACGCCACGTGTAGGCAGGAAAATAAACTTCTTGTATTTTAACTTACCTACCTACAAAAATTGCGTAGATTCCTAATTCAAAAACAAAATTCTTTCATTCATTTGTCTTTTTATACATATTTAGTACATACCTTGATAAGTATTGAATATGACCAGTCGGAAAAATGAGTTAATTTTATTTTATAATTTAAAGTAAAAAAAAAAAAAATTTTTGACTTTACAAAAAAGTATTGAATTTGACATTTGAATTTTTATCGGTTACCTTACGTTACAAAACTATTAAAATAAAGAAGGAATTCTGATAAGAATACGTAATATTTTTTTTTTATTGAAATTGTATTTTTCTGGTCGAACTGTTGAGTACATTTAGAAATCCGAGGGGAAGAAATTCGCTTCGTCATTCATCATTTTATCAGAGACTTGACAATTAATCTTAAGGGTTTGAAGATACCTCTTTACTTGGCTGAACCTGCACCTGTTCTTCAGA